AGATTCCTATCTATCAGTGGGATTTCCGTCACTGTATCTATCAGATATTCTACTTCTCGACCTTTCACTCATAGCTTTGAATACAACCCTTATTTCCTGCTAAGGGTCCAGACTAATGTTTAATTTTCGAGCTGTCAGAAAATGCATGTTGCTGTCCTACAGACCAGAGTGATTCACGTTTGTGACCACTACCACATCTGCTGATCAGCATGAGCCACCCTCCATCCTTTTATGATGTTGAGATCTGAGATTGTTTTGTCAGTAACTGTAGTTGCATTGCTTGAAGCCCATCCCAATCATACAGTATGCTGTACATTAGTAGCTGTCATGACAAGTGCTTCCCACTAGATCACCAGATACATCGATACCTGAAGACATTCTTAGCAGCATCACCTTTATTCATGCATACATGTATATAAGTATTTGTTACAAACGACTGGAAAAGTGAGTTTTCTTTAAAACTATAAAGCATAGAAGTAGCTAGTATTACAGGGATTAAGATATAGTGTTTTTGGTAGAGTGAAATGAGTAGTTGAAGTTATGTAGAATGATCCTGAGTAGAACAGCTGGAACTAGTTATGCTAAATTTTCATGACCGATTTTCATGTGATATGCTTCAGGCATTGCAAAGTAACCCATCAATTCATGTTATTGGGTAAAAAGTACTAAGAAGTGTGATGCAATTTTACATTTCAGAAAAGTATATGAGAAAAGCCAGTTATTGACTGAGTAAAGTCATTTCAACACAAAAAATAGCAGTGTATTATTAATTATGTATACATACGTTAAATATTGAAACGTATGGTAGCTGATATAATTGTTTCTAAAATCACTTATACTGGCACGATTCAGTTAGGATTATAGAGAATAAATGGTCGGCCATGCTTCATTTTATTTTTTAGTGAAAGAGGACATACCGACTGGCTGGCTCATCGAAGGCTTTCACCAGTCCGCCCTATTGTGCCTCTCAATCCCGGGTGGGAACGGTTTTTGTAACATTTTTTCTGTGCGCTGAAGTTTGTTTCTTGATTGTATCGATTTCACATAGTGGGGCATTAATAACTTGCTATGATATTAAAATGAAAGCAAACTTATCGACCTATATCGTGTGTACTGATAGAGACAGTAGTTGGCTTTGAACGTATACTATTGTTAGCGTAGCGATTGTGGGCAGGTGAGGGGGCGGAAATCTCAAACGCACAGAAAGGCATTCACTATTCAGCGGAGAAAAAGGATATCACAAGTCATGACCAATATATAGTTCCTACTTGGCTGCTTATCTCATCGTTATGTCTTCTTTAATCATCGACCGCCTAGAAGTGATAGTAGTTTTGTGTAGGTCCTGTAGGGTGGGCAACTGCATGTCCATCCATTCCTCTTTTAATGGCTCGAGAACAGCAAGTAATAGTGATACTTTACTCACATCATTTAAGCATTTAAATGATTAACACGCCATTTTTACAGGCGTTATCTTAGCTGAAATAACTGTACTACATATTTAGCTGCCTATGTTTACAGTTTTTGAAATGTGAAGCACATTAATTGTATGAAAAGTATCATGAAAAGGTGATGGTTTGCTGAATTGCGTGCATACACTATCATTAATCCTTAGTATTTGTGCCATCAGATCATACCACAAGAATACACTGGACAGTAATTTGTTAGTTATCTGAAGAACCAAAATACTGAACAGAAAGATACGCTCTAGATAAAAGTTCCATAAATTTGTCTTACAAACGTATAAACTACGAATAAATAAATTTTATTGTAGTTATGCTTCTAAGAATGACGAACACTCGTCGATTTTCACGCGGGCTATAAAGATTACTTTGTGGAGGGTAACTGGCAGCACGAATTGACCAACGCTAAGGAGAAACCTTACATCCATTATGTAACAACAGAAGGCAAGGGTCAGGCAACAGATCATTTATTAAGGAAATCAACGCATATTTATATATTTTCATGTACATTACTATGGAAATTTAAGCAAAGAAACACAGTCTTCCGATTGGTTGTTTCTCACATAAAGTTAATCTTTCATCTATTTGTGACTGTTTCTTGAATGTCAAATCCTCTATATGTTAACTGCATCCGCCTACGCAAAGTCTGCTGTGGTCGGTTTTGAATCAATCTTTGTTCACATTTTCTCACGACAAATCTTGGGAACGTAAATATTGACGTAAATTACTGTCTACCAATTTGGCTAGAAGACAGCTCTCACCACAATTAGTGTTTTAGGCGAAGTCAAACTATCATAGTCAAGCTCAAGGTTTGTAAAAGTTCACCTTGGGAAGCCTATCAGATTTGGAATACGCTATGAAAGGTCAATCTAAGGTATAACTTACCTGCCTTAAGGGACTTGTTGGAGGCGGGTACAGTATTCTACTTATTTCCTAGATAATTATTTCCCTAGATCGACACTGTCACGTAAGTTTAGTGATTTGGAGTCAAAGCTGGGATTAGAGTTCAGGTTTGGGGTTAGGATTTAAATCGGGATTGGGGTTTAGGGTAAAGGGTAGAATTAGAGTTTTGGTTGATTTGAGGACAGTGTAAGGAAATTCAGTGGATCCGAAAGTACCGAAATCTATAGTAGCAGAAAACAGCGAATGTCACAAGTGTTCGTAGAACATGATGCAATTTCTATGCATATATGAAAACAATAATTTTTGCTTGTATCACTTGGTTCCATAGACTTTTAGCAATCAAAACACACAAAAGAGCAGAAGCACGCACTCGAAGTCAGCAATATTCTTGAGTTCCTGCGACAGAAATAGGTGCTGCACAACAGCTGATCAGAAAACTTACAACCGAGTACAGGTAGTCAACAAGCTGCAAAGAAGTTTTTAGAAGCCAGTTTCTGAAATGTATGCCAAGCACAAGCAGTGTAACGAATAATCATTACGTGAACGATATATTTAGGCGTCCTGCTGCGCAAAAATACATTTGTGTCTAGGAACAATATCAAACAACAATTTTCATATAAATTCACCCAACAAGAGCCGAATAAACACCAAAATCACGTCAAATGCATCTACCTAGACAAGGAAACGCAAACGAGCTACAACTTCAATGAATAAAGCCGCGTGCATGCCGACCAGGCGGGGCAGTTGGCGCCACTTCAGATAGGGGATATACCATATAATCACCCTATCGTCTCCTGGGTGAATACATCTTTGGTGTATGGTATGACTTCTCCATAGGTTGTACTTCAAGTAACTGGCAAACATTCCTACAGCACATAGGAGACAATTATCCATTGTAATATTATGTTTGTAATGTAATTTAACACATTTTTATATTATACGACTTTTCGTACCCTAATTCTTAGTGGTTGTCCAAGTTCAGATTGGCCTTGGCTATGATTATCTTGATTATAGCGAAATAAAACCAGTGGATTGGGTGAGGTTAGGATTTTGGGCCTAGTTACCCTGACTAAAGAACATAGTTGAAGTTTGGCTTATGTAAAGTGTTTTGTTCAGGATGTACTTGCAGACGAACTATGCAACAAACTGTCTGTCAACAGTCATCTTTCCACATGTGGTGAAAATGCACATGTCCGTCAACTTTAGTTTTTAGAGATCGTCATAGCTGGTCCTCATGATAATGCACCTTGAGGGATAACATTAAGGATCCATTTGACAGGTCAAGTCTAGCTGGAGGTTGTTATTAGGGTATAGTTTCCGTGGATTACCTCTCTGTTCACTCGGTCAAATACTCAGGTCAAGAAAGTCCACGCACAGCCACACAGTTCTTCAGCCTCTCTTTAATAACTTATTCTAGTGGCACAGTAGCTACAAATGACAGCTTTGTGTTACATGAAAGGCAAACTCAAAGAGAAAAGGGGTTGGAGGGTACTCGGGTTTCGAGCAATTTTTCATGGGTTGCCACGAGGGCTCTCGTAATGGCTTTATTATGGCATTGTGGTGAGAGCTGTCTACTAGCCAAATTGGTTGACGGTAATTGAGGTCAAGGTCAAGATGGACAGGCGGATACAGTTAACATATAGATGAACTGACACAGCCACAATAGATGCAAGGTTAACTTTGTGTGATAAACAACCAATCAACAGACTGTATTTCCTTCTAACATTAACCTACAAAAATGTACATCAAAATCTATAAATACGTGTTGATTTTCCGTAATAAACGTTCTGTTGCCTGACCCTTGTCTTCTGTTGTTACAGCATCACCATATATACGTGACTCTTTAGTAGTCTAGGCGAGTATCAAATAGTGATTAGGTGTGACGCGAACTCCTTAACGTACATTCTGTCGTACGATTCATTTTGAAGGGCTGCGACTTCCTTCACTGTTATCGGGTGCCTCCATTTGAAGAAATTGATATCTCTTCTGGAGGGCAGCAAACTGACAGTTCTGTACCCTTCAGGGTGTGAGAGCATTTCGATTTTTAAAAAGATCTCTGACATGAATACCCTCAGATGTCTACTTATGAAGTGTAGAGTATCGTATCCCCTGGTGACGTCCTTCATACACCTGGTACCATTACTAGAGTTCAACTTTTGACTGGGATGTGAACTGAACCTTATTGACATGCGGTATAGGCTATTAACACAGTGACGGTAAGTTACCTTTGATATGCGCATCTGGAATACTTTGCATTTCTGAAGACTGAAAGATGTTCAGTTGACCTGTCCCAAGTCTATGAAAGTTCTTTGGCTTATTTGCAGTTTGCATGTGCCACCCAATCTGTCTGAGTCTATTAAAACAGGAAATTTATCAGTAAAAGCACCTATATGTCATTCAGAAGAACTGACCAACCATCATTGCAAACAGTTGTATATAGTCTCTTAGCTGTGTGCAGTAAACCTATTAATATTTTGTCATTAGATCGTATCCATTATGACGAGTTATGAAAAACGTGTGTGCTTCCTAGAATATCATTCACTGAAGGTTTTCGAAGGATTCTAAACGTATGAAATATAAAGGCACAGAAAACGTTTTACATACTTTGAACACACTATTTGGTGACCTTTTAGTGACCTCTGCTTTTGTCGCGCAGTTTGACAAAGTGGATGTCGATCATAAAATCTTTCCTTAAGAAATTCAAGGCTGTTGATGAGCCTAAGAAGAAGCCATTTTCAGACGGGATTGAAAGAAACGTCAATCCAACTGATATATGGGAAATTATCTCAGAGCTTGGAGATGGCGCATTTGGGAAGGTGTATAAGGTTTGTTGTGATTGCCTTATTTAGTATCTCCAGACTCGCAAACGTGATAACGAGTTATGTGCCGCCTTAAAGAGGGTGGAGTTTGACTCTGAAGATGAGCTTGAGGATTTTATGGTTGAGATAGACATTCTAACCAACTTCAAACATAAAAATATCCTTTCACTACACGAAGTTTACATATACGATAACAAGTTATGGGTAGGTGTTTTCTTCCACTCTTATATTTGAAGATGTATCTGGAACTTTGTGGTGGTGGTGCTTTGGATTCGCTTATGGAAAAACTTGAAAAACCTTTGACAGAGCCACAAATAAGATTTATTTCTCATGAGGTCCTCGAGGGTCTTGGGTTTTTGCACGAGAACTTAATCATTCACAGAGATATGAAGGCTGGGAACATTTTGCTAACAGTTAATTACGAGGTCAAACTCGGTAAGCAGTTTATTCCTTTTTATTATTGGGTTTTATGGTTTAGTTGACGTTAGCTGTAGACCGACATTAGCACTTATAATAATTTACGGTTGCCTCTCTCCTCGTCTTGACATCAACGAACATGCACATATAGCATATATAAATATGAATTATATTAACGAGATGTAGGCCCCCTTAGACTCGTAGTCTTAGGCTTAGTTTATTTGTCCATGTTTCGCCTTCCTACTTGTGATTTTAATTTTATGAAAAACTTCAATTTTTACACTCGTGTACTGTTCATGATAAATTTACACTAATTAATTTTCATGGGAATCTGTAATAGAGATAAAAATGTTGGCTTCGTTTTATAACATGCAAAAGGATAGGTATTTTTTTGTCGATTCTTGTGTCTACTAGGCTCCTGCTAGTTATGTGCTTTCCATATGTAAGAATTAGGGGATTCGATTTCAGAGATTTGGTCACATATTATTTAGCTGTCTTAGTCTATGAGGGAACGAAGTTACTCTGAAGCGCACTTTTATTTACTTCCTTATTCGCGTTAAATGAGATGGGCTTCACTAGGTTCTTTTTTAAAAATTCACCTAAGTATATAAAAAGTATTACAGTGATGAGGTGGTTTAATTTTGTTGAATCACAAGTTTAGCCAATTCATTGGTTTGAATACATCATTAGGACACAACTATTTTGATCAATTGTAGCTAAGACCTTACCTTACAACCTGAATAGACCGATTTTAGTGTTCTTTTATCTTTAAATATTGTCATCATTGGTTATGACAATGGACTTTCAAGTAAGGTTACAAAGGCTATTTAATCGGCTTCGCTTGGAACAATTAAGTGGTACAGTATATGTGGCAGGTTATTACTGTCTAAATATTATTCCTTGAAAGGGTGGAGATCATGTAGTATGTTGTTCATTTGTAACATCAGTTTCACAACCTTAAATTACCTAACAAAAGATGAAAATAGGAAGTTTTCCCTGAGTAATCTAAAAACAACCATATAATAGGTTCAGGAATTAACTTACCACTTCAAACGTTGCCGTCAAAATCTTATTGTGCATACATAAATTAATCGCTAAAAGTATAACAACTAAAAGTATAACAATATTTTCATAATTAATCTTTGTCCCATGTTACTATTGTAAGTGCATGGTCCACATTTTGGTAGCTTGTGTAGGAGCTACACAAATTGTGTTGTAGTGGTCTAATAACGTTTTTTAAGATGAGTCTTGCTATAGATATTTTCTATGCTGGTAACTTTTGAAGTATTCTCAGCAACAAATGTCATTAAAAAAGAAATTCTTATTGATTAACAGCTGATTTTGGAGTCTCAGCAAAATTGGCAGACGAAAGACAAAGGCGATCAACATTTATTGGAACTCCTTACTGGATGGCTCCGGAGGTTATCACTTGTGAGACTTTCAAGGATGCCCCTTACAACTGGAAAGCTGACATTTGGTCTTTTGGTACGTTTCTCATAGTTTTTTGCATTAATTATATAATGATGTTAAGATGATGTATTCAACCTTTGTCTTTATTAACAAAAATATGATTTATCCTACTTGGTGTTATAGTCGGTTAGTAAGTCTCTTGGTGAATAATTACTATTACGAAGTACTTTGAAAGGTGTATATTGTGCATGGATGTCACACATTTTTGGTAGTTTCAATATTGTACTGTACTTTCTCTGAACATACTATAACTACTGTTGGGTGTCCCAGGTTAGCTGGGAGGAAGTCATAAACACAGGTTTCATGCATGTTGGCACTCGTGGGTGAGGCATATCGGCAGTCTCGGAAACTACATCCACTATGAGATTAAATGTCTTTGTCATACAATTGCTACTCGAGCTGTGATTAACTTCCTTTAGGATTGTGTTGAGTACATTAATTGATCACTAGAGTAACCAGTACCACGTTGTCTATTCCTTAGCACTAGCCGGTTAACTTCTCAGTGTGATCGTCTGGGAAGATAATTTTTCTACTAAAACATTACTGTCGGTTGCATGCAAGCACCTACTTTCAATTCAAAGTTTACCACGATTATGAATTCAAGCTCGATAATCACATTACAAGGTTGACTGACAAAATTCATAGTTTGAGGAACTGGACAAAGTGATACTTATTAATTCTTAGTGACCTATCATTGTTTATTGTAATTCACGTAAGTACTCGATTAGAGTGATGTAATTCTCTTAGGATTTCTTGTGAATGTCATTAACATAGTAATTGTCTTTCAAATATGAGTTGCAGTGTTGCAGTCCAAATTTGCAACACTAACCTTTACCTATACTAACCTTTCCACTTCTGTTTACTTCAGTCATGGTAATTAGCCACGCTTAAAGTATTACTGCTCCAGTTTTCCTCTAATCGCATAGTCACTATAGTGTATTTCAAATAAAGTTGGTTTACTGGGATATATATATATATATATATATATAGCAAGTAAATGTGCGTCGGTGGCACAGCAGTAAAATGCTCGCCGACCACGTATGTGGTTTGGGGTTCGATCCCTGGCCACAGACGCACTCCTTTACCTCGCTGAACCTGCAATGAGACTGGCAAAGAGGGAAGGTTGGTTATGAGGCTAGCAACCCTGTCCTGTAAAAATAAAGACCATTGCTACCGAAACTTCAAGCCTCCAACTTGAAACCACCATATGTACAATGGGAACCTAGAGGAATACTTAAAAAATTTGCAAGTAAAACACGATATGTCTTAATTCTCATCTAAGCAACAAATGAATTCTTTTGTCAAGTTAAGAATTCAGTCGCATAAATTTATCTATTTTACAACTTAAAAACATATACTGTTTTTAAGTAGTATTTCGATTGAAATAAGTGTAGGTGTAAAGTATTTCTGAAAAAAATGTACTTTGCAGTCATTTTAAATTACCAGTTGAAAACTCTGCATATCAACCAACTTATTTTTTGACGTCACCTACCTCATTCCACTATCCATCTTTTTAAAATGCAATTGATGATCAGGATTGATATAAGCATAAAACTGTGATGGTAGAGCATAACTCCATTATGGATGAGATTTTATTTTAATAAAATGACAGTGTTATTACAGTAATATTAACTGATGACCACGTTTTGAGCACAAATTATTGCCACTCATAATCATATCAAGGCAATACTCACACAACTTTTTTCCTTCATTGATATACATGTGTGGAATCGATTAGATATTGGAATAAAAATCAATATGAGATAATGTACATTCAGAAATAATAATAATACGATTATTATTGATAAATGACAATCAGATGGGAAATAAGACGAGGAAAAACGTGTGAGTGAGTGACTTGATATGATTATGAGCGGCAATAGTTTGTGCTCGAAACGTGGTCATCAGTTAATATTACGGTATAACACTGTGTGATTTATCAAAATAAAATTTTATCCATAATGGAGTGACAATAAAATAAGGATGATGAAATTCCTTATGTATTGTATACTTGGTAATTACATGCGATATAACAGTGTCCATTTACTGTTGTCTGTTGTCACCTAATGAAGTGTTGTGCTAAGCATTTTGAAGGTTGTGGACAGAGTTCTCATTAAAACACATTAGAAGGAGTCATAGTCTTTTAATTAAGTTGATTGGTAAAGGAGTGCTGACTTAAAAAAGGCCTGGCTTGTATCTCCTTGTGATCAGAAGTATAAATGTAATGATGGGTTAGTAATATATCCTATGTAGACTATACTGTAACAGAAACGAACGTAAAGTACGTAAATGATATATTTCTGTGTCTAAGGTCGGTCGGTCGGTTTTCGACATAGGACTTAGCACAGATGTGCGGCAGTTCAAGTCACCACACTCCATTTAGCACACAAAGCAAGAGAAGAAGGTAGGAGAAATGCATATTATAGACAGTAAACAGAGGTGTGAGACAAAGGAATAGTAATAACGAAGAACAAAACAGTTTAACTGGAAATCATAAGTCACAAGGAGTGGATGCATCTGCGCCATTGAGAACGATTTTGAGCCACGTCACCAAATGTTTCCAACCATTGGTTTTTACCGTCCCGAGGACCCCAACCAGGAAGTCTACACCTTCCTACGTGGCCAGCTTAAACTAACTGTTGTAGATTTCATTGACTGGTGCCATATTTTCGTTTGACCATCACTGGCTCTTTTCCAGCCTGTCCCTATGTTAGTCAGCTGACATTGCCCGTCGAGGAAGGCGATGACTAGGCAGGCATACGTAACACATGTCCTAACCATCTCAGTCGATGTCATTTCACAGTCTCGTCGACTGATTTCCCCTCCTTACCTAGAACTCGACCGATGCCTAACCTCAATATTGCTCACCTTATTATACCACTTCACACGGGAGATAGAACGCAGACACCTATGATCGAAAACAGCTAATCTTTTCATGTCTTCCAGTCTCAATGGCCAGGTCTCACTCACAGATGCAAAAGAGGACGGAGCGGACTGTTGAGCAGTACACACGCCCTTTGGTCGACAGCCAGTCGGATATCACGTCTACGCCAGAGACGGCGTAAACTGGCATATGCGAAACTAGCCATCTGTAGCCATCGTGCTGAGATTTCGTCGGAGATCAACTCGTTGGGGCTGATGGTACTTCCCAAGTAAGTGAAGCGGTCAACGTGCTCTACCACTTCACTTCCTATTTCTAATCTAGGGGTCGATGTAGTTCAATCCTGCAGCATCATCTTACATTTTACAGGGGCGAATCGCATGTGTCTAAACATTTTATAAGCGTCCTATTCACGTACCGAGAAGACAGATATATTTTCACAGATATATTCTAATAATACAAGAATGCCTTCTTTCCAAAAGTCGATTATGTCGTAATCATTAGGCATAATGAACATAAAGGTTCTGTTGTTGTGTTAACACTTAGTCACATAGAATGGCATTTCACGTAATATGCTATTCACCACACTTATTGTATGAAGGCTGGTGATACTCCTCCAGTCATCCAGGTTAAAGTTAAATTCCAATCCGGCAACGATTGGCTGCAAGTAAACACCCAGACTGAAGCAGGTGGTTGTCTCAAGGGACCACCGCCGAAACCTTTGACTTGAAGTCTTATCCACAAGGTAGTGAAGTCTGTCTGTCTATTTTTGACATAGAACTTTGCACATATGTGCGGCAGTTCAAGTCGCCACACTCCATTGGTTTTTACCGTCCCGAGGACCCCAACCAGGAAGTCTACACCATCCTACCTGGCTTAGACTAACTGTTGTTGTAGACTTCAAGGTAGTGGAAGAGCGTTAGGAGCTGCGGTCTCATGGTTTCCAGTGTCCAAAACAAGTTCATACACTATTCTACCTGTTAGGATTCTGGAGCCCATGTACACCATAAGTTGGGAATCAGGGCTTTTCAGCTCTTCTAGGTAGACCTGCTCGTCCATTAACATCCGCTCTTTCACTGTTGTAAGGAACACCCTACCCCCTGCCGGGTGAATGTAATGAATAGGATTTCATGGCAGGGGCTATGAATGCATTGCCATATGAGAGCATTTCGAGTGGACAACCGAAGTCTACCCCTCCCACGTCCTTGGCCGTACCAGGTCTTGTATGATAGATATAGCTCAATTATTATTGTTTCCTTTAATTCCTATA